ACACTGACACTATCCCTCACTGTTACACACTGATACTAACCCTCACTGTTACACACTGACACTATCCCTCACTGTTACACACTGACACCAACACTCACTGTCACACACTGACAATAACCCTCACTGTTACACACTGACACTAACCCTCACTGTCACACACTGACACTAACCCTCACTCTTACACACTGACACTAAGACTCACTGTCACACACTGACACTATCCCTCACTGTCACACACTGACACTAACACTCACTGTTACACACTGACACTAACCCTCACTGTCACACACTGACACTATCCCTCACTGTTACACACTGATACTAACCCTCACTGTTACACACTGACACTATCCCTCACTGTTACACACTGACACTAACACTCACTGTCACACACTGACACTAACCCTCACTGTTACACACTGACACTAACCCTCACTGTCACACACTGACACGAACCCTCACTGTTACACACTGACACTATCCCTCACTGTCACACACTGACACTAACCCTCACTGTCACACACTGACGCTAACACTCACTGTCACACACTGACACTAACCCTCACTGTCACACACTGACACTAACACTCACAGTTACACACTGACACTAACACTCACTGTTACACACTGACACTAACCCTCAATGTTACAGACTGACACTAACACTCACTGTTACACACTGACACTATCCCTCACTGTTACACACTGACACTAACCCAATTTCCGACATTGTACACCACAGCATCTCACTAACTCTGCAGTTTACATGTCGTACCTCACCCTTTGACAGTTTGACATGAATGTCCTGTGTGAATTCTCACATTCCCGTCCCTCTCTATCCGATCAATCTCATTCATCGTAACTTTTTGCCTGTTGATCATTTAATTCCTGATTGTTTTTGTGCCTGTCGCTGCATTGGTTATGTTTTGCTCTGGCAGACTTCATCACTTACCCTCCGAGTACCTCGTTGAGGTTATACTGGTAGAAGCTCCTCACTGGTCCTGTTCGAAATGACACACAGCGATGTTCAAACGGAGCGGGTAGTGGTGGTCTGTCATCTGCAGACAGGACAGGTACAGGGTCACTCAGGACCAACGGACAGCACTGTTAGCATCTCAGGCAGGAGTGTGGTGGGGGCTGACCTAGCCCTGGTGTGAGTTCCGGTGATGCCAGTTGCCATTGCTGTGAGCTTCCAGGAAGGTGCCAACTCCTTCCTGTGCAGCAGTGATCATTCCTAGAGAGCTAAACATAGTGGCAACTTCCAAAGTGCGATCCTTCAATCCCTGGACTTGGCACAATTACCAAGAGAAGGAGGATCCAGAACGAAAACTAACGCCACCACAGCACAGGAACAGGCCCCTTCGGCCCACCAACATCGCCCTAACATGACACGTTTTGAAAGTACAATCCTTTTGCTTCGAAGCCGTGTATCCCTCTATTCCCTGCCTACTCATATGTCTGTCTCAATCGCTCTTTCATGTTGTAATTGAATCTGCCTCCACCACCTCTCCTGGCAGCACGTTCCAGGCACTTACCACGCTCCAAGTAAAGAACTGCCTCTCACATCTTCTTTAAACTTACCCTGTCTTCCCTAAACCTTTGTCCCCATGCAATTGACATTTCTACTTTGTCAACATCTTCCGATACCACGACCACTTCCATCTAGAAGGACAAGGGGCAGTAGATAATGGGAACACCACCCCTGCAAGATCCCCTACAAGCCACTCACCATCCTGACTTGGAAATATATCACCGTTCCTTCACTGTCACTGGGTCAAAATCCTGGAATACCCTCCCTGAGGGCATGTGGGTTGACCCGCAACATGCGGATTACAGCGGCTCAGGAACGCAGCTCACTGCCACCTTCTTAAGGGGGCAACTAGGGATGGGTAATAAATGTTGACCCAGTTGAGTAAAGAAGATCAAAGGGGAAACAGCACAATGTCGAGCCCCCGTTGTATGTTTAAATGAGATCACCTCTCAAGCCTTTTACACTCCAGGGAATATTAGCACAGTTTACTCAACTCCCTTCAGAAACCAATCTAATGAACTTTGTAAGGCAAGTATATCTTTTCTTAAATACAGTGACCCACAAATGCATTCAGACATGGTCCAGATGTAGTCTCACTGAAGCCTCATACCACTGAAGCAAGAGTTATTTATTTCTGAGCCCAATCACCTTCCAATAAAGGCCAAACTGCATTTCGCCTTCCTGTAGACAGTACCTTCATGCTAAATTTCTGTGTCTCTTATATAAATAGATCCAAATATCTCCAAACAGCATTTACAAGTTTCTAAGCTTTTTTTTTCCAAATAATATTCGGCTCTTTGATAATTAAAAGTAAAGTGAATAACCTCTCACTTCCTCGCGTTTTACTCCATTTTCTGCTCTCTCATTGAACCTGCCTATATCTCAGATTGCTTATATTCCCACCTCGATTTATATCAGCAAATAATTTAGACACATTACTCTCCAGGTTTTTGTCTAAGCTAAATTATCGATTGGGGAAAAGCTATGTCCTCAGGACCACTCCACCATCACAGCCTGACAAACTGAAAATGTCCCACTTGGAGTAATAAAGATGTACAGCATGGAAACAGACCCTTCGGCCCAACTCATCCATGCTGACCAGATATCCGAAATTAATCTAGTCCCTTTTGCCAGCATTTGGCCCATAAGTCTCTTAACTCATCAGCACTATCTGCTTCCTGTCCATTATCCAAGCCTCTATCCCTGCTAATATATCTGAGGAAGGACCTTCTTGCTATTGAGGGAGTCCAGGGAAGATTCCTGGGATGGCAGGACTGGCATACATAGTCAACTGGATTGACTGGGCTTGTACTCACTAGAATTTAGAAGAATGCGGGGGGATCTCATAGAAACATATAAAATCTTGGTGGAACTGCACAGGCTAGATGTGGGAAAAATGTTCCCGATGTTGGGGAAGTCCAAAACTAGGGGTCACAGTCTAAGCATAAGGGGTTAGCCATTCAGGACTGAGATGAGGAAGAATTTCTTCACTCAGAGAGTTGTGATCCTGTGGAATTCTCTCCCACAGGAAGCTGTTGGGGCCAGTTTGTTAGATATATTCAAGAGCGAGCTGGATGTGGCCCTGGTGGCTAAAGGGATCACAGGGTATGGAGAGACGGCGAGAATGGGATATGGAGATTACATGATCAGCCATGATCACATTGAATGGTGGTGCAGACTTGAAGGGCCGAATGGCCCTTCCATGTTTTCCACGTTTCTATAAATCATAACTCCACAAACTCCTATCTTGTGGATTAATCTTTTCTGCAGCACCTTATCGAGCACCCTTTGGAAATCCAAGTATGCTACATCTACAAGTTCCCCTTTATTCACTCTATTGACTATGTCCTCAAAAGAAAAATCTCTAAATGTGTGTCAATGCATTTTCTCTTTCATGCATACAAAACCAAAATGCTGCAGGTGTTGGAAATCTGAACTAAAGACAGAAAATACTGGAACTGCTCAGTATCTGTGGAGAGAGAAACAGAGTTAATGCTTTGAGTCATGACTTTTCACCAGAAACGGTATAGGCTTCAATCGAGAAGAGACAGAGATAGGGAAAGTGGACAAATGGAGCTCAGAGACAGATGTAAGACAGGAGAGATTAAATGGAGAAAAGAGTTGACAGTGCAAGATCACAGGCAGTGATTTGGAGACAGAAAGGACTGCAGATGCTGGAAGCCAGAATCAATAGATGTGGAGCTGGAAAAGCACAGCAGGTCAGACAGCATCCGAGGAGCAGGGAAGTCAATGTTTCTGGCTGAAGGGTTTTGACCCAAAGCATTGATTTTCCTGCTCCTCGGATGCTACCTGACCTGCTGTGCTTTTCCAGCTCCACATTTATTGACCGATCACAGGCAGAGATCATGTGGCAAGCTTAGAAATACAACTAAACACCTTGATTTGACCTATAGGTGTGACACCAGTAACCTGGTGTTTAATTCTCTACCTCGCTCTAGCACTGATCTCTCTGTCCTACAGTGTCCCAGTCAAACACAATGTAAACTCAGGGATCGGCACCTCATCATTCCATTGGACATGAAACCTTTCAGTCTGAATAGCAGATGGAGCCTAATCTAGATAGATGTGAGGTGCTGAATTTTGGAAAGGCAAATCAGGGCAGGACTTATACACTTACTGGTAAGGTCCTGGGGAGTGTTGCTGAACAAAGAGACCTTGGAGTGCAGGTTCATAGTTCCTTGAAAGTAGAGTCGCAGGTAGACAGGATAGTGAAGAAGGTGTTTGGTACGTTTGCCTTTATTGGTCAATGCATTGAGTATAGGAGTTGGGAGGTCATGTTGTAGCTGTACAGGACATTAGTTCAGCCTCTTTTGGAATACTGCATTTCTGGTCTCCCTGCTATAGGAAAGATGTTGCAAAACTAGAAAGCGTTCAAAAAAGATTTACAAGGATGTTGCCGGGGTTGGAGGGTTTGAGCTATGGGCAGGGTTGAATAGGCTGGGGCTATTTTCCCTGGAGCATCGGAGGCTGAGGGGTTACCTTATAGAGGTTTATAAAATCATGAGGGGCATTCATAGGGTGAATAGTCAAGGTATTTTCCCCAGGGTGGGAGAGTCCAAAATTAGAGGGGCATAGGTTTAAGATGAGAGGGGAAAGATTTAAAAGGGACGTAAGGGGTAACTTTTTCATACAGAGCGTGGTGCGTGTAGGAATGAGCTGCCAGGGGAAGCAGTGGAGGTTGGTACAATTACAACATTTAAAAGGCAACTGGATGGGTATACGAATAGGAAACATTTAGAGGGATATGGGCCAAATGCTGGAAAATGGGACTAGATTTATGTAGGATATCTGGTCGGCATGGACAAGTTGGACAGAAGGATATGTTTCCGTGCTGTACGGCTCAGAATTTACCACTCTATGACCAATTCCACACTGTAATCTCTGCCCCGATTCTGCTTCCTCTTTCTTTACATGTTTCAGACTTACTCTTGTTTTCATCTTTCCTGCTTTCGGGTTCTGGTTTCAATCATTTCTGCCAATCATGCTAACTTTAGACCCATTGCTTGTTTCTTTACTTGTCCCACTGTTCCTCCATTTTGTCGTGCAGTGCCAACTATTTTGTCATTGAATTGTTCCCGCCTCCTACTCTCAATGTCAACCCTATTAATTCCCTTTCGAATCTTGTACGTTTCAATACAGTCACCTCTCGTTCACCTACATTTCAAAAAACATCGACCCAGTTTAATCAGCAAATCTAATCTGTCATTTCCATGATAATTAGTGTGAAACCACGACTGGGTTGATCACTAAATTCAGTCATCACTTCTCAGCTACACACTCTTCAAAATCCTTAGCTTCAGAATCCATTCCCACGTCAGATGGGGAGTCAAACGAAAAAATCTGATGCCCAGCTGACCTGAGGGGAGCATTTGGCCAAACTGCAGTGGAAGTAGGCAGACTGTGGTGCCTGTTATTCGCTCATCAATTATTACTCATCCCTAATCGTCCCTGCAGAACTGATGGTGTGCTGCTTTCTTGAACCACTACAGTCATTGAGTCAAACAGCACAGAAACAGACCCTTCGGTCCAACCAGTCCATGCTGACCATAATCCCAAACTAAACTAGCCCCACCTGCCTGCGCTTGGCCCCTATCCCTCCAAATGTCTTTTAAACGTTGAAACTGTACCCGCACCCACCACTTCCTCTGGAAGCTCATTCCAAACATGGATCACTCTGTGTAAAAAATTTGCCCCCATGTCTTTTTTAAATCTTTCTTCTCTCACCTTAAAAATATGCCCCCTAGTCTCGAAATCCCCCACCCTAGGGAAAAGACACCTGCCATTCACCTTATCTTCATACCCCTAATGATTTCACAAATCTCTATAAGCTCACCCCTCAAGCTCCTACGCGCCAGTGGAAAAAAGTCCCAGCCTACCCAGTCTCTCCTTATAACTCAAACCCTCCAATTCCCAGCAATATCCTGGTAAATCTCTTCTGAACCCTCTCCAATTTAATAACATCCTTCCTATAACAGGGCAAACACACAGTACTCCAGACTAGGCCTCACCAAAGTCCTGTGCAATCTCAACATGACGTCCCAATCCTTGACAAAAAGGTCTGAGCAATGAAGGCAAGTGTGCTAAATGCCTTCTTAACCACCCTGTGACACAAACTTCAAAGAATTATGCACCTGCACCCTTAGGTCCCTTTGTTCTACAACACTACCCAAGACCCTACCTTTAACTGAATAAGCCCTACCCTTATTTATTTTACCAAAATGCAATACCTCGCGTATTTCAGATTAAACTCCATCTACCACCAATGAGATACTATATACCTTGCCAGGGCAGTTCAGAGTGAAACTGCTTGTAACCCAAAAGATCTTCTTCCCTACATTCCTCTGCTTAATGTCCTCCCGTGGCAGGAACTCCTTCAGATCAAGATATCCGATTGGTTTTCCCTGTTATGGAGATGCTATGTATTAAATATTGATTGGAGAGGACTTTTAAGTTTTGAAGGGTTGTGGAGAAAGGAACATATTTCACATTTTGTGGACACACCTGGAGTGGTTCCTTTCGAAGAGGACATTGAAAGCTGATTGTGAAAATTGGCGTTTTTAATTTAACAAGGCTTCCTAATCTGGCAATAACTGCTTGCTTTGCTGCAGATTCCCATCAGGACTGTTGTTATTGGACAGTGACTGGATCAGAGATCACCTCTCTTAAAAATGCAAGCATCGCAGCCAATCACATTCAATCAAATACATCCAATGGCTGTCGGAAACGATGATGGGACTGAGTCCAGTTGGGTCAATTTTCCAAGGAGCTAGCACTTTGGAGATGGGCTGAATGGTATCCTGTGCGGTCAGACTCAATGAAATTCATGGTTCATCAGAACCTTGGAACATCGCAACAAGGAGTGAGACTGCATTCGTGTAGCACCATTCACATCCTCCATAAAATCCACTCTCCTTACATTCTTGGGCACTTTGTGTGGCTCTGCCTTGGTGTTCCACTCAATGATGAAGAGGGAACCCTCAGAGTACAGGCTAATATGGGCTGGCTGCTCCGAGGGACTGGTGTGTGGGAAATGGAATTTAAACATGAAAATTGTGAGGCAATGCATTTTTGTCAGATTACTGAATATTGGAGTACACATTGAATGGTAGGACCCTCAGAAGTACAGAGGATCAGAGGGACCTTGGTGTGCCCATAGATCCTTGAAGGCAGTAGGGCTGGTCAATAATGTGATTAAGAAGGCTTGCCTTTATTAGTCAAGACATTGACTAAGAGATCAAAGTGGTTGCGTTGGAGCTGTATATAATGTTAGTCCGACACCAGGTGCAATGCTATGTGCAGTTCCAATCCCCACACTAGAGGAAAGATGTGATTACTCTGGAGGGGGTACCGGATGTTGCCCGAGATGGAGCATCACAGCTATAGAGAGAGCAACAATATGCTGGGGATGACACAGTCTGGAGGAACACAGCAGGCCAGGCAGCATCTGAGGAGCAGCAAAGTTGACATTTTGAGTCGGGACCCTTCTTCATTTCTTCATTTCTGAAGAAGGGTCCCAAGCCAAAACATCAGCTTTCCTGCTCCTCTGATGCTGCCTGGCCTGCTGTGCTCCTCCAGCTCCACACTGTGTTATCTCTGACTCCAGCATCAGCAGTTCCTACCATCTCACAATAAGCTGAGGTTGTTTTCCTTCGAGCAGAGAAGGATGAGGATAATCAGATTGAGGTGTACAATGTTCTGAGGGCCATGGCGAGAAATGTTTTCCCTTTGTAAAAGGGTGTCAGTAATTAAGGAGCACAAGATAAAGACCAGCAGGTTTAGAGGGGCTTTGAGGAAAACCTTTTCATGGAGAGGCGTGTGGGTATGTAGAACACACTGCCTGAAAGGTTGGAAGACCTCAGAACCCTCAGGATATGTAAGAAGTATTTCGATGGGCAGATAGTGTACAAGGTTACAAGGCCAAGTGCTGGACAATGGGATTAGAATAGATTGATGATCTAATGATGTACCCAGACCTGATGGGCCAAAGGTCCTCTTTCTGCGCTGTATAAACTCGATGACTCTGTATATAACCTGGTGTAACAGTGTACGGACTCCATGTTATCTCAGTTTGGGTCGGTGTGTAGGAATGGGGAGCTTGTATCTGAGATCCATGAACAAACGTTGATCTTTACCAATCACTTTGATCACGCTATCTTCACCAGTGCTGCCCTGCACTGTAGCTTGCTCCCCCTGGCACCAGGGAGCTGTGCTGACAGTTGCTCCTTCACTCTCCGTACCCTCCTCCGTATCCTTTGAAGCTCCTCCTTCGCTCTGGGGGACATCAACGCTCAGTACCGGCTTGTTTCCTCCAGCTCCGGGCTCCGCAAGGAAGCCGTGCTCCCCATCCCCAGCCCGGTGCTGGGACGTATCGGGACATTGGGGAGGGGAGTCAGTAGGACTCTGCAATGTTCCCAGTCTCCCAGCCTCTGCACACAGGTCAGATCCATCACTCGTCAGGCCAATGCCCACTGCCCCTCCATCTGCTGTCGATGTGGCACTCTCAGGCACTCCCTCTTCATCGCTGCTGCGGGGAAGATAAGATACCAAAGCACGGTCTCAGAATACATGGGTGGACAGCACAACAGAGAAGTGAACAGCAGAGGACAGCTAAACATTGACATGGAGAGACTCTGATCACAATCGCCCTGCTACACTGAGGCTGGTGCCAGAGAATGGGAACCTGGCTAAATAAAGCAGAAAGAGATAGCTCTGCTCACTGGAGGTCCGTCAATATAATGCCAAGTGGTGGGACATTAATCTGGGACAAAATTAGAACTTGGCTCAATGGGAGGGAACACAGGTTAAGGACAAATCCTGCTAACTGATTTAAGAGGCCTCTTTGACAAAGTAAAGTCAGAGGCTCTGGTGAAGTTGATCCATTGATATTCCTCATATAAACTTTCAAATGACATTTGACTGAGTACCACAGAAATAGACTGGTGCAAAAATAAAAATTCATAAGTCATTGAAGATGCCAGGACAAGTGGAGAGAGCTCGCAATAAAATATTCAGAATCCTCATCCTTATTAAGATTGAGTGTACTGCAACAGGAAGGTTATGCTGAAGTTATATAGCACACTGGTTAGACCTCAGCTTGGTGTCTTGTTTACGGTTTGAGACAATGTATTTTCAGAAGGATGTGAAGGCATTGGAGAGACTGCAGAAGAGGTTTACAGGAATGGTTCCAAGGAGGAGAATTTCAGTGAGAAGGAAAGATTGGAAAGGTTGGGGCTGTTTTTGAGTGTTGCTGCAGATATGTGGGACCTACCCTGATCCTTACCCAGGAGTTGCTGGTCCCTTTAAGACCCACATTACTCAGGGTGTAGCCAGCAACACTGACAGAGCCCACAACCCAGCCCTCGAGCATCCTTACGCACTTCAATGGCCCATTCCCATACACCCAGCACTCCCCCCAACACCCTCCGCCCAGGCAATCCTCCAATCATCAGCGTACCCGCTTTGACCCAACTATCTCCCAAACTAAGTACCCACCTCACTCACTCACCCACTGACCCACTCACTCACTCACCCACTGACCCACTCACTCACTCACTCACTCACTGACCCACTCACTCACTCACTCACTCACTCACCCACTGACCCACTCACTCACTGACCCACTCACTCACTCACTCACCCACTGACCCACTCACTTACTCACCCACTCACCCACTGACCCACTCACTCACTCACCCACTCACCCACTCACCCACTGACCCACTCACCCACTGACCCACTCACTCACTCACTCACTCACTCATTTACTCATTCACTCACACTCATCCACTCACCAACTCACTCACTGACCCACTCACTCACCGACCCACTCTTTGAAGGTGCTGTCTGAGGATCTTTGGTGAATTTCTGCAGTGCATCTTGTAGATAGTACACACTGCTGCTACTGAGCATCGGTGGTGGAGGGAGTGAATGTTTGTGGATGCAGTGCTAATCAAGGGCTGCTTTGTCCTGGATGGTGTTAAGCTTCTTGAGTGTTGTTGGAGCTGCACCCATCCAGGCAAGTGGGGAGTATTCCATCACACTCCTGCCTTGTGCCTTGTACTTGGTGGACAGGCTTTGTGGAGTCAGGAAATGAGTCACTTGCTGCAGTATTCCCAGCTTCTGACCTGCTCTTGTAGCCACTGTGTTAATGTGGTGAGTCCAGTTGAGTTTCTGGTCAATGATAACCCCTAAGGTATTGATAGTGGGGGGATTCACTGATGGTAACGCCATTGAATGTTAAGGAACGGTGGTTAGATTGTCTCTTACTGGTGATGGTCATAGCCTGGCATTTGTGTGGCACGAATGTCACTTGCCACTTGTCAGCCCAAACCTGGATATTGTCCAGATCTTGTTGCATGTGAACATGGACTGCTTCAGTATCTGAGGAGTCACGAATGGTGCTGAACATTGTACAATCATGGGTGAACATCCCCACTTCTGACCTTATGATGGAGAGAAGGTCATTGATGAAGCAGCTGAAGATGGTTGGGCCTAGGACACTACCCTGAGGGATTCCTGCAGAGATGTCCTGGAGCTGAGATGACTGACCTCCAACAACCACACCCACCTTCCTATGTGTCAGGTATGACTCCAACCATCGGAGATTTTGCCCCCTGATACCCATTGACTGCAGTGTTGCCTCTACCCCAGGTGCTTGTGGCTGCGTCAATGGTGAATGTGTTGAAGGCTGGGCTAAGCCACTTTTGGTGTCTAAGGAAAGCAAGGCTCATTTGAGACTTGGTAGTGGAGACTTCAGTGTGACCACCCACAGAGGCAAAGGAAGAGTCTGGGAGGGATAGTGAGGCAGAGCCAGATCGCAGGTGTCTTAATGTCACCAGCTAAAGTCCAACATGGAGACAGGGAAGGCGAGGGAGCACTAACTCAAACTGTACATAGTGCAGTTCCATTTTACCAGGGCTGTGTGCATCAGAGTCTAAAGGTGATACCTGGAGCTTCAATCAGTTGGATATTTCCACAATGTCGATATTCTCACAAATGGAATAGAAAGATATACCTCGCCACACCCCCTCCACAATGAACCCTCAATAACCTCCTCCCTCATTCACACCCTCACCTCCTCAACTGACAAACAACCTCCTTGCCTCCCCTACCAACAGCCCCTCTGTCCCATTTCCTTCAGCTATACCCCAAAACACTCCTGCTTTCCCCCCAAGACCCCCAACATCCACCTCATGGCCCATCAATTCCCAACGTTCCTGCCCTCATCCCCCAAAACACACCCCATTCCCTGCCATCTCCCCAACCATATACCCCTCAGCTCCTGGCCACTTTGCCCGAGCAGGCACTTCCCCTGGCTCCTCCCACTGTGTCCCTGACCACCCCCACTAATCCCACTTGTCCCTGCCCCCTCCTAATCCTGCTCCTATTTGCCCCTGTCTGCCCCCTGTACCTATCCTGCTGGAGGTCTCTGCCTGGCCAGCCAGGGGGTTTTGGAAGTGCAGTGTTACCTGTGGACTGAGGTGGGACAGCCATTGCTGTGCTGGGGGCCTGGGTCTTCTGGAGATGTTATCAGAGCTGCATCCACTGCCAGGCCTCTCCCTGCGTCACATCCATCTTCATTATGGCCCAGTCCAGTGGGTTCCTTAAAGATATGCTCACTGTCCACAATGAGCTCCAAGTGTCTCTCCTCACCCGGGTCCCTGGCTGTGTCCAAGCTCGTGTCAATGGGATTCTCTAGGCTGCATTCCTCAGGAAGGTCTATCGCTGGGTCCAAGCTCACATCGATGGGATCCTCTGGGGTGCATTCCTG